ACGGAGAAGAGGTGCCTCGATGCGCACCCGGGATCCGAACCCGGGCCACCAGCATCGCAGCGCGCGCACTTAACCACCAAGCCACAGGGCCGGCCCTGTAGTTGTTCTTTATTCCATATACTAGTCTCTATGTGCAGATAAGTTGCAACTCTTTTCCCAGTTTTGGGCTAGTGTTCTTCATTCTTTTATTGCATGCTTTTTTTTTTTTTAACTGTATTATGGAAATTTCAAACATATATGAGAGCAGAGAGAACAAGTATAACGAGCAGGTGATGTTCCCGTGTCCAGCACCAGCAGTTATCCTAACAGGGTCTGTCCTCCTTGTGTCGTCTCCTCCCCCGCACCTCTTCCTCCTCCCCGGAATGCCATTTCATCGACAGCTATTTCTGTAGGTCTCGCTGAAAGGTACGGGCTCTCTCTTTTTTAAAAAATACATTTATCATCCTGTGGTCATATCTGAGATAAAATAAACAATTCCTTAACCTCATCAGATATCTGGTCGGAGTTTGCATTTCCCTAGTTGTCCTGTATTTTTAATAGTCTGTTTGAATCAGGGTCCTTTAATGCTGTCAGATTGATCAATCTCTTCCTTTATGGATTGTATTTTTAGTACCTTGTTTAAGAAATCTTTCCCTGTGCCGAGTCATGAAGATATTTGTAAAGTTCTGCATTTTACATCTAGGTCTTTGTTCTACTAAGAACTGACTTGGTGGATTATCAGGCCTGGGTCCTGATAGCTTTTTCCATTTGGTTAGCCATTGTTGTCCCATCACTCTTTGTTGAAAGTTTATACTTTTCCAAATGAAGTGCCATACTGATAATAAGAGGAGTTTATAAAGAGGGGCAGGAGTGTCCTGAAAAATGATTCAACATGGAGTAAAAGCAGGTAAATTTAAAGGAACGTAAGCTTAAGAGAAGCCAAGCTGTTGCCTATACCTTTCATAGTTGTCATGACTGGGTCCCGGGAATTGATTTGCCATTGTTCTTATGTTGATTAGGTATGGCTATAACTGTGTGATCTATGGTTGGGACCCCACCTGCATGATGGGACACGAATGGATTCGAAACATGAACGTCCACAGCCTGCCTCATGGCCATCATCAGCCTTTCTATAATGTCCTGGTGGAGGATGGTTCCTGTAGATATGCAGCCCAAGGTGAGTGGCTGGTTCTGTCTGTACTGGAATGACGCCCAGGCTTGTTTTAAGCACTCCATTGAGCACTCAGATACTGTGGGCACAAGTCATCAGTTTCTTCAGAGGGGGCGGTTGTCCCACAGCTCACCTCATCGGGGCCCATAGCCAGCTAAACATGGTGGGTGTGCACTGGTGTGGCCGTACCACAGGTTAAATAGTCACCGCCACAGCATCTCCACCTCGGTCACCACCACAGCCAGGACCCTATTCCAGTGCTGTTGCCGCCCTCTGTGCTCATTGGGCATTGCCTGTGCCAATCAAATTCCTGTAAGTTCTGCTTCCCAGGCACTGCCATTGGCTCCCTCCAGGCAAGGCGTGTCAGCTTGTGCCCTGTCCGTACTGCCTGCCTGGACTGGAGGGCACTGAATGGACACTGTTGGGGGAGCCACCCTAGCACCCTCTGGGCTCCTGAGCCTGGCAGCCAGCTGTGCTCCCCCAGAGACGCCCTCAAGTGGCGACTGTAGTCCACAGCACTGGCTCCAAGAGCACCTGGGAGAGTCAGCAGTGTTGGGTAGGCGTTTGGGCCCACTGCCAGCCTAGCAGGGGCTAGCCCAAGGTACTCCTGGGGTGGGGATGGATGGGGCCTGCGGGGCAGGTTAGACAGAGATGCCCTCGGGTGGCTCTCCCTTTTCTCTGTCCCTCCATCCAGTGGGATGCCTACCTGTCTGTCAGGGCTTTCACAACGTGTGTTGTATTAATAAAAACGATCACGAATGCTGAATGCTCGGCCACTGGCAGTGTTCTGATGTGTGTGAACTCCGTTTGGGAACTACAGTTACCATCGTCTCCGCATCCTCATTTCATACATGAGCGATCTGAAGCACGTGGGGTCGTTTCACTTCTTAACGTACAGGGTATGAGTTTGAACCCAGGCAGCTTGGCAGAGAGCCATATCCTTAACCATCATGCTGCACCATTCTGTATCTCACTTGAGACCTCAGGTTTGACCTAACTCAGTGTTATATTCTAGGAAATGCAATCATAGAAATGTTGGATGTATAAAAATCTCAGAGGATCAAAAAGACTAGAAAAAGTTTCTTATTAACTATTGTTAGTTCATCAGAAGCTGAGAGAGGATCATGCACATCAAGAGACTACAGGTCACTTAATCTCTGTCTGTATGATGGGAAGTGACAGGAGGGGGTGGCCTGCGCCCCATGTCCGAGGAAGGTGCTGGCGATTTGATTTAACTTTTGAAGCCGTGTCAAACGAAAAATTGTACTAACAGTTTCTAAAAATCAACAAATGGTTAGGAAATTACGGAATGATTCATGGACTGTTTGCACCCCCACTAATCACTCGGTAAGCATCTCACAGTCTACGTGGTAGAGTGTATCACAAGGATAAAGGGGATTGTCACCAACACTGCGGGCCAGTATCTGTGGCTTCACATGTGCATTATTGCCCATTGTATATGGTTGATAGTAAGACTTTCTACATTTGATATTTGAGTTTCTAGAAACATTTATGTTAACTTAAAAATGGGCTTTTTAGAGTAGGTAAAGCTAGGCATTTGACTTTAGGTGTTGTGAACTTGTCCAGTGTCCATGGTGAAGATTCAGGCTTCATCTCTAGCTGTATCTTAAGTGAACATGCAGTGTAAGGTGTCGAGTCATAATATTGTAATGACTTCGTAAAAAAAATTTATTATTTGGTTGTCAGTTTTACACTCTTAAAGTTGAGATTGAACTAAACGATTATGGGTAATGTTAGCAAATTGCCTTTTTTAATTTTAAATTCTGAGACTTGTGGAAAATTCTTAGAACTGAGGAGCCTGCATTACCCTATGATAGTTGTCCACTTTTTCTGCTCCTGGGTATGTGGGCTTCGGTGTTTGCTGGGCATCTGTCGCCTGCCAGCCCGGTGCTCAGCTGTGCAGGTACAGAGATGAAGAGGAGCTGCATCGTGGGCTCCCCCGAGAAGGGCCTCACATGACGTGTAGGGCCCCCCCGGGGCCATCTCCTTTCTCTTGTGGCCTCGTTAAGTGTTTACATGCTGGTGACTCTCGAAGCCTTGTTTCAACCCCAGCTCTTCTTTGGGACCATGCCCACCTCTCCAGCAGCCCCCTGGGCGTCTGCACTTGGAGGCACTCAGCAGTGTTCTTAACTGAGCTCATTGTGCCGCTGCCTCGTCCCCACCCCAACCTGCTTCTGCTTTTCTCATCGAACGCTGCCACGTGGGCACCATCTCTCACTTCTCGGTCCCTCCCCCTGGTCGTACATCCAGTTAGTCAGCAGATCGCACCGATTCTGTCTTCTGAATGTCTCTCATGTTTCCATCTACTTATCTCCATCCCTGTCGCCCTCCTGCTCTCCGTGCCACAAATATTTCTTGCCTGTGTTGCACCACCCTCCTAACCGGCATCTGCGTCCAGGCTAACCCCCATAGGGCTTTTCCTCACAACAGCTAAAGGATCTTCCCAGCGTGCACCTCGAACCAGGCCACCTGCTATTTAAACTACTTGTCAGGTGTGTCTTCTTGGCAGACCAGACTCCTTTGCGTGGCCCAGAGGTAATATAGACCCTCTCTCACAACCTCCTCTCTGTTCCTACCCCGTCATACTCCAGCCGGATCAGACTTGGATGTTCCTTGAGATCGTCCTTCTCAGAGACAGGTCTTCCCACAGCTGTTGTCAACCCTTATAGACAGGCTCTTTCCTCCCCCCTCACATGCTTCAGGTCATGCTTCGTGTTTAATGTCACTCCCTTCAAGAAGCTGTTCACCCCTCCCCTTCCCCCACGGCCCTCACATTGGGTCCTCTGCCCCTGCTCTGCGCTCCCTGAGCACATTGCCACCCAGAGTCCTTGGACCTCCACGCCAGGTTTCCTGTTTGACGATCTGGCTCCTGTGCTCCATCCTAAGCTCCGTGAGTGTGGACCTGAGGCTACCCTGTTCACTGATGGGGCCCTAGCTCCGTGGGTCATTCCAGACAACACCTAAGTGCTCACATTCGGCTGGAGGGAGGGATGCCTGTCTGAGAGAGAGAGAGAAGCTTTAAACAGACGTTCAGAACAGTGAAGTGAGTGCATGCAGTGGGTGATTAATGTGAGGCTAACTTTTTTTTTACAGTTTTGGATTAAGAGCATTTTCAAACATGAAACAGTTAATACAGTGAATACCCCATACACCCGCCACTGGATTCAGCCTTGAGCAGTTACCATATCTGTTTCATCTGTGGATAGAGATTTTAGTTTTTTGGTGAACCATTTGAAACAATATTGCAGACATCATGACCTAAATGCTTAATCATGTGTCTTCTAAGAATAAGGACATGTTCTCTTCATTACCACGGTTGCATCATCACACCTAACAAATAAGAATTATTTCATAGTATCTAATAGTCACTATTCAGATTTCTCGGTTGTCACAGGAATAACTTTTTTAGCTGTTTGTTTGCTTTTGAATCATGATCCAGCCAGGATTCACATCCTGCATTTGGTTGTTATGGCTGTTTAATCTCTCTTATTAAAGAACAGTTGCTCATTCTTCATCTCATTTTTTCTCTTTTTCATATGACTGATTTTTGAAGAGTCTAGGCCAGTTGTCTTATAAATTGTCTGACATTCTGGATTTGTCTCACTGTTTCCTTATCTGTGTGTTGTGTGTTACCTGGAAGTTAAGCCTGCAGCTTGATTGGATCAGGCTAATATTTTTGACCAGAGCACTTACTGTCAGATGCTGTGTGCCTCGCCTTGCATCTTGTCCAGAGGCCCATGGTGTTGGATGTCTCCTGTTAGGCCAAGTTTGGTCACTTGGCTAAGATGGTGACTCACTCTAAGGGACACTTTTCTCTTTGCAATTAACAAGAGATCCATGGGGTCGTACTGTGCCATCCTGTTAATATCCTGTCCCCGGTAATCTTGAACCTTATGGTTTGTTTTACCACCTGTTGAATCTCCTTGCCTAAATTATTAGGTGAGAATTGGAAAATGGTGGTTTTCTACTCCTGTTATTCCCTCTACTTCTGCAAATAAGAGCATTCCTACCCCAACCCCCCACTCTCTTCTCCCTGTCTTGCTCTCTTCCCCTCTCTCTCTCTCTCCTTCCCCCCTTTCCATAGATTCTTGTATTTTTACTTAGTCAGTGTGTTATAATCATTTGGGACAATTTTATGCTCACATTAGCTCATATTTAGCCAGTGGGAGACCTTGAGAGGCTAAATTTTAAAAACACTTATTTAAATATATTTTTTAACATTTCTGGGTTAATTTATTTGCATTAAGTTATTTGTTTTTAAACTTTTTCTTGATCTAAACTTTTGACTTTTGGCTCCAGTGATCCTAGTAACGTGGGTAGAATCCATTAATGAATGGTTTTCTAATTATTAGCTCTCCACAGAGAGTTCAAGAGTAAATTATAAACCACATACATTCATGACATCTTCACATAATTTTACTCTGCATAATTAAGAGAATTTTCCCCTCAATATGTTAGATTTCACCTAAATCCTAATGGAGGGATATACAGTGTCTTGCATATTTATAATTTTTGTTCCCACTAGGGGGCATGCTTTAATACTTTGCTGACACGGGTAGGAGAACAGCAACTCCTGTCTCCCCTTCCGTACCTGCTTCTCAGATACTGCGGAAAATGAATTTCACAGATGCTCTGAATTCAAGTCAGCTGCTCATGTTGGAGGGCCGGGAATTCAGCTGCGATGTGAACATCTCCTTCTCACATGTGCTCTGTATGTAATGAGGAAGCACCTCGTAGCACGCTCGGTGCCTGGTCTGCCCTCACCAAATGTCAGTTTCCTCTTCCAGAATTTATCGTCCACTTCCAGACTGAAGTTCCACCACACTGCCACACGCACAGTCCATGGCAGTCTGCACATGCTGGCACAAGTGTGAGGAGGATTCCCTGCAGCAGGGGTGGAGTGTAAACCTTCAGCCAATTCAGAGGCCGGTTTGGCTCTGTCTTTTAAATTGTAGAATTCTCAAGTGTTCCTTCTCTGATGTGGTGGTTCCAAGCCTTGGTCCCTCCACCAGAGACGCACTCACCCAAAGCGCCTGTGGTCCCCTTGGTTATGGTAGCCACACCGTGTCCTTCATAAGGACTGGTAGATTGGGGTATATATCCCAACTGTGGAGTACTAAGCTGCAATGAAATAAACCAGTTGCAGGTAAATGCTTATGGTATGTTTTGTACAAATAAACATGCATAGAACAATGCCGACCTTTTAAGTGTATATAGTTGTGTTTAGCTACTTATGTGTACGTTCACAGAAGGACTGGAAGGGTCCACTCACGCTAGCAGTGGTTTCCTCTCGGAGGGGAGGCGGGGCGGGGACCAGGACAGGACAGATGCCCACGGAGGACTCTTGGTGGTGTTTCCATAGTTTACAGGAGTGTGGTCATATATTTGGGGTCACTGAAATTTTAAAATAAGCAGACACATCTCTCTGAAAATTTCAAGGGAATGGGAAAGATTCCTCAAGATTTTCCAGGACTTTTAAGTAGTCCTGTTTAATATTTTGCTCAATTTTGTATCACTTAGATTTTTCACTCTTCTGCAAGTAATTTTTTAGGCCTGGTTTAGCAGATTGGTATTTCTTTTCCCCTCCTAATACATGTATTGCCAACTTCGTTATCTTGTTTTCACCTCAAAAAAATTTTTTATTAGTACCTTCTTTCCTGTTTCACTAGGAGCCCAGGCAGGTCAATGCACTGATCCCAGTCCGTGTTGATCTTGAACAGCCAGGAGTGGGGCTGTGAGCACCTTCTGGACCATCGCTTATTACCCCTTACATGTTTCCCCAGTGCTCTGCACACCTGCATTCTGCACACCTTACTCTCCATGCCTCTTGTTTGGGGTCCACGTTCGGAATTCTGTGCAGCAGCTGCGAGTCACATTGTCCTTCCAGATCTGTGATGATAACCTGACTTCCACCTTTCTGCCCTCCTCCCAACACTCAGAAGCTAAGTATTAACCCACACCAGGCTTCTGTTTAATAATACATGGAGAGGAGGAGAGAGAAACAATGCTAAAACACATCTGAGTTTCTGTAGAGCAGGCGCTAGTGGCATTCTGGTCCAGACAGTTCTTTGTGGTGAGGGCTGTCCTGGGCGTTTGTGTAACAGCACCTCTGGCTTCTGCCCACTCCATGCCAGTAGCAGCCCCTGCTTGTGACAACCAGAAATGTCTTCAGACATTGCCGAAGGTCCCAACAGGGGCAAAATGGCCCCCAGGGGAGAACCACTGCTCTAGACAAACTGGCAGCAAAGCAGTTGTTCTCACTCGCCCCCTGGAATTTTACCTGAACTGTCTCTATCCTGCCTGCCGGGGGTAGAGCGGTCACAGCAAAGGGACTTTGATCTCCTGGTGGTACTCCCAGAGTCTGTACCCTCCCTCCACTGTTTCTGCATAGCTCTGCAGGAAAAGCCAAGCATGAGGCCCTCAGCAGTGACCTGGGTAAGGCGCAGGCCGTGGTTACGTCCCCCTCAGCCCCCCAAGGAAGATCACCTCTGACGCTTCACTCCACGGGGCACGGGGCGGCAGGGGCAGGTGGGCAGGAAGGGCATTTCCTCAGGCACTGGCATTTTGGAACATTCAAGTTTTATTTTACGTTCATTGATGTTTCTGATTACAGCATTAGAAAATGTAAAACATGAAGAAAGAAGTGAAGTCACCTACAGAGGTCTAGTGGTAACAGTAGAGAGACATCCAGGTTAGCAGACTGCCCAGTTTCCTTTTTGAAAAACTCGGCCCCTGTTTCTGCAGAACACCTTGGGCCAGAGCCTGCCCTTTCGAGGCGGTGGTGGCGCTCCCCGGAGTCTGTCCCAGCCCTGCCCTCCCTGCTCTCTCCTGATATGGCAGCTCCTCGCCCTTGCGCGGTCTGTGTCTCTTCCGTCGATTCCCTCCGGCTCCGGCAGTGGCCCGTCTGGGATTAGTCCTGGACGGCTCCTTGGGCCAGGCCTTCACTCTGTCTGCAGTTGATTCGCTGCAGAGGGGGTCGTGACCAGAGCTCCTGTGGAGTGACGTGAGTGTCACCTGAGCTGGAGCCTGGACAGCCACCACGGTGCTCGGTGCATCGTCAGTGCCCAGTGTCAAAGCACCAGCAAGAGGGTGTGGCTGCACCGTGTGACGCAGCCACGGGATACGTGGCCTTCAGGCCTTTTGTGGGTAATGGATACTTGTTACCCCCACTGCCCCATAGGACCGGGAACGCAGGTTGCCGGCTTTTCTGGCCACCTGGTGTTTTGCTGAGTTAACGCCTCCATTTATTTACACGGTGACCTGCAGCTGGATGTTGAGACTGTTTCTACATTTTTGCTATTATAAGTGATGCTAAGGTAGTCTTTGAACATTCGTCTTCACACGTGATTTGTATGTGAGTTCCTCAGCAGTATTGATTCTCGAATTGATGTATCCCGTAACCGCAATCTGAAGAAACAGCCTAAAACAACAATTAGCACAAAATGTCTTTAAATCTTCCTGTCTTGTGGTAAAAAAAAAAGTTACAGATTAAATTATACAACTCTTTCTCTCTCTTGAAAGACAAATACCAGTTAAAAAGATAAGCTGTTCAGAAAGATGCTCACGTTTATCCTGTGTACTCTGGGGATGCAGGGCCTCTGGGTGGAGGGCACCGAATGTTCTGTATTTTAGGATGCTTAACCAAGCCGTTTAAGAGATACCCTCCTGCGCTGTTGGTGTTAGTTGGCCTGCTGGCCAGGCTTGCACGGGCTCACTTGAATTGATTGAAGTGGTAGGCTGTGCCAAGTATGGCTTCATGTGGACGGGAACCGAGCCTGCACTGGGACACAGTCAGAGTGGGGAGCGTGTGCCTGCCCTGCTCCTTTCTGGTGCCAGCTCACGGGTATAGCTTGGCTTCTGCTGGATCGAGGGCCCACACCCAGTCTAGGGCCTGGCCTCTGTGGCCAGTGAGGAAGGGCACACAAGACGTCATCCATTCGTTGGGCCCATGGAGGAGCCATTTTTCAAATAGTTTTTTGGAGAGAAGCCATCTGAAAGGATTTCAGCCTTTAAAATACCTCACATGTATTGTCATCTTTTTTTTATCATTCCACTTTAAAAGAATCTTCTATTTATTTCCCTAGTGGCAAAATAGAGGCAAGGAGAGGATGTAATGTGGTTTTCCTAAGAGTTGATACAAATGTCATAACCCATATCCATATAGAGTCTAGAGGTGCAAGCCACTTTTCCATTCCTCCCACTGGATCCCACGACTGCCCTGTGAACTGGCTGGCTCGCATTTGGAAGTACACAGCCATATTGAAAGGAACTCGGGTGGAGAAATGATCTGTGTGGGAGGGACTCACGTTAGTAGACAAGAAGGATGGCAGATATGAGACTCGTAACCAGATATGTGGAGGCTTCAGAAGCTTAACCACAGGTGACAAATGATACCCTAGTCCCATACATCTCTATGTGCTAGATCAAGTCACAGGAACACGGCGAGTCTCCAGTTTGCCAATCCCCAGGAGACTGCTGGTGTTTTGCTGGAACCAAAACAGCTTGCTCAGAGAATAGGAAAATACTTCTGTTCAGTGTGGAGCTGTTGGGGACCTCATGCCACCATCCCTCCATCCCCTGATTGCTGCTCGCTGCCTTTTTCCTGTTACCTCCTCCAAATTCCATAAACATCCTGTCTTTCCTTTTGCCCTACCTCACAAATGCCACTCAAAGGGGTAATTGGAAGTTCTCTGGATAATGCTGCAGAAATGTCGATTTTAACAAGAATGTCCATGTGCCTCTTTATCAACAGAAAACTTGGAATATAACGTGGAGCCTCAAGAAATCTCACACCCCGATGTTGGACGCTATTTCTCAGAGTTTACTGGCACTCACTACATCCCGAACGCAGAGCTAGAAATTCGATATCCAGAGGATCTGGAGTCTGTCTATGAAACAGTGCAGAACATTTACAGTGCAAAGAAGGAGAACGTGGAGTGAAGACTAGTAGGGGACATTGGACCTTTGCTGCTGCTGCTATCTTCCCAGAGAACAGGATTCCGGAAGAAGACGTCTCCACGGGTCCCTCTGGATTCACACCACCGGGAAAGCCACTGAACCAGTAGTGCTGTCTGCCTCCTTCCAAGCTGAAATGACGTGTGCTCCCCTTCAGCTGCAAAGACAGTGTTGCTCTCCGCCTACACTAGTGAATTCATTTGAAAGGCACTGTGTTCAGTGGCATGGCTTGTATGCTTGTCCTGTGGTGACAGTTCGTGACATTCTGTCTTCATGAGGTCTCACTGTCGACACTCTTAGAATCATTCTTTTTGTTCCCTTTCCATTATGTCTGTTTGCATTTGTCTCAGAACGTTTCATTTGCTGGACAGATGGGGTTATGTGTTTGCACTCATTTCTTCCTGATTTCTCTGTGGAACGTGTGCAGTCCTAAGTCAGGATTGTTTCTTTTTACCCCGAATTGAGTTGCTTATTCAACGGTAACGCTGTAAGTGATGTGGTAGCCTCTTGGGAATAGAGACATTAACAAACTAATGGTAATCAGAATCATGTGAATTTATTTTTTTTCTAATTTTTAAAGCAGATTTCAGGTGTTTTTTTTGGTTATTTGAATTGGGAGAATGACATGGTTTCCCTTCCATATTCCTCTCGGGATTTATGCTTATATCTCAATGAATCCTTAGTTTTCTATTTTATTATATAACATTATTTGAGAAAATGCATAATAATGATTTTTGTGAATGAATTTTTCCACATTCATCTACTATTCTTCCCTTTAAAATAAGTATTTTTTTAAATCCAGTATCATGTGTAGATCTTAAATTAGTGATGGGTTCTCTTTATAGTAGGAAGTACAATCTAATGTTAAAATGTTTGCCTTTAGAAACCATGCTCTATGGTCTCCAAAGACCTAAAAATGAGGTTTCAGGAAAAAAAAAGAAATAATGAACCTTAAAAATTAAAATGCCCCCATCATCCCTTAGAGTCACTTCAGAATTCTTGAATATGGCAGGTAGAAAGAAAGAAAGCATCTTGAATGTCAAGAGTGTTGGATCAGTGGGGAAGGAGACGTGAGTGTCATCTGCCCTCCGGTCACCATTGCCATGAAGGCGTCGGGATGCAGCGCTTCTCCAGTCCCGTGGGGGTCTCACCTCGTATTCTGATGCCGCTGGCTTCTTTTCCGTGTTCTGAGTGACTGAGCATGAAGGTAACCGTTCTTTCCGCAGCTCTGGAGCTCCCGCCATTCTCGACCTGCCAGCTCTCCAGCGAGCTGATATTGTAGTTAGCCAGTAGGAGCTAACTTCTGGAGGTAGGACCTAGTCACTTTACTCTCTAAGATTCAAAGAATCCAGTTGCTCTAGTGAGTGAGGCTTCAGGGGGCTGTGGCCCAGGCACGCCTCGCCACCTGTCTTCATTTGCATGCAGTGTTTTCACACCACGTTTGATGACTGCCTCTTGTTTACCCTTCAGAAACCCTGGGATGTCCAAGGTTTGAGGAAGCCACTTGAGACCACTTAGTAGCAAGTGACAGTTATTAAGCAGTTACTAGAAAGAGATGGGGATTTGGCCAGCTGGCTCCTTCCAGCCTGAGTTAGCTGTCGTCCAGGGTGCATGTTGCTGGGTCAGTCAAATCCACAGGCAGGTGATCTGGACTTGCTTTTGGAATTGTGACCACTCCCAGTGCCCAGCCTGCCTGAGGTGGGTGACTTTACACTACTCTCACGTAAAGGGGAAAATTAGGTAATATGGAGTTAATACTAATGAGATGCATTATTCAGAAACTCGGGAGCATGCTGAGAGTTATAACTGTTGGTTTTCTGGTTTGATTTCCTTTTTTCTTAGAATAACATCACAGTCAAGAAAGATGGTTGACCTTTGCTGACCCCATGTAAATATGTATCTAGACTGTTTTTAAATGTGTTTCTTCATGAATGCTTCATTTGGCTCCAGGAAGCCTATGTCACCTGTGTAAGTTGGTATTTGGGCACTTTATATTTTTCTAAAAACGTGTTTTGGATCCTGTACTCTAATAAATCATGTTTCTTTTTAAAATTTTTCCAAAAATTTTCTCCATTTTAAAAGCCCTGTTATAAAAGTAGAACTTTCACAATGTTAAAATACTAAATATTTGGATATAGTAACTTCTTTTCTCTTCAAATGAATGCCAAGACTTTTTTGTACAATGATTAATAAATAGAACTTACCCAGAGAAACCGTACAAATGGCCTGCCCAATTTCCTTCCAGAACACAAAGCCCAGCCGTGACAACAGCAGAATGTCTCTCACTTCCCTTCTCCTCAAAATGTGCAAAAATTTGCTCTACTGAATTTTTCTTAACGTGGGTGAGTGAACGGGACGTTTATACTGTGATTTCCCCGCCAACTGTTAATTTTGGAAGCTCCCTGGTAATCTTGAGAGTATCTGGGTGTAACGCAAAGAGTGCAGTTCTTTAATTCTGTTCAAGTACATGCTGTGAAACAGGGACTGCAGATGCTGTGAGGGAAGCCCAGGGTCTCAGTGTGCTGTTAATGGTGACCTGATGGCCGCACGGCATGTGCCATGTCCTCGATCCTGCAGAGCGCCGTTTCTCCACGATGTTGCTGCAGACTTGATGGAAGGAAGTCCTGGGCTAAACAGTCACCAGTTTCCCACACTGCGGCGTTTCTCAAAACCTTTCATATGCGGTTGTGCGTTGTGACCTTCCAAGAGGAGAGTATAGTGTGCCGTGTCTTCCTAACTTATCAGGCCCTAGGACTTCCCTCCCCCTGCACGCACGCACGCACACACACACACACACACAGCATCCCTGCAGTCCAGTGTTTGCAGACAAACTCTGGGAAACACTGTCTCAGTGTGTCCAAAACTGGTCTACCTAACTTATCATCAGACCAGTTTGGCCACACGACTTCTTTGAGAACATATGCATCTAATCAGATTTTGAAAGGTCGGCTTTATGTTGTCTCTGCTTGAGCCTCATAATAGATCTCTGTTATAAGTGCATTTACACAGCAAAGTTTTTTTATTGCAAATACCAGCATTAATACTGTTGCTAAATCAATTTTGTGTTTTATAATATCTACTTAAAGTCTTGTTCTAATTTTAAGATGTCTCGGTCTCTCTTAACATATTAAACTGAGTCAAGCTTTCATGTTCTAGGCTCCTCTGCCACCATCAGGTCCCTTTACAGGAAAAATATTTCTTCTCCTCGGTCCACATTCCAAGTAAGGGAAATTGGACTACCAGCAACTTTCTAATTCAAAAGTATTGTGGCCATAATAACCAAGATGTTGCTCTTCATGTTTTTCTTTTGTTTTTTGGAGGGAAGGGGAGAATGTTCACCTAGACGAAATGCAGAATTTGGCTATGTGACAGTTTATTTTGGGGGACATTAATAGCTGTATTGCATGTATTACTTTGCATCGTGTGCTTACCTTGAGCCAGGCACTGGCCTCAACTGTCAATCCTCACAGCAACCCTATGAGGCAGGGCCAGGTAGTGAATATTTTTGCAGGCCGCATGTTTTTGTGGTCTCTGTCACATATTCTTTGTTTTTAAAAATGTACGAAACATCTTAGCTCGCGGGCTGTACACAAACAGGCCACAGGCTGGATTTGGCCCAGGGGCCCTAGTTTGCTGAGCCCTGCTGCGGGATCGGCCCGCCCAGCATTCCGCTGTGCAGATGGGGAGTCGAGAGCATGCTGCTTGGGGGCGGGAGGCCCGGCCCTGCACCAGGTGTCTGACCTCCGAGCCCCAGCTCTTGACAACCGACAACTCGAGCAACTACCTCGCCATGTTTTTCTCCTTTGCCTTGGCAGCAACTTTAACTTCTAATGTCTCAGTTCTGGAAATTTAGAATCTTAAGAGAAAAGGACATTCCTTCGGTGAATAAAATTATGTGCAATTACAGAATAAATGTATTATGGCCATTTAGCAATGATTGTATTAGGGTAATGCTAGTTCTGTAATAAATAGACCCAAAAATATATGATGGCTTGAACACAAAAGAACTCTTTTGCTCACGTAATACCGGGCAGGGGAATGGGGTGGCGGGGTGGCCCTCGTGCAGCGGGGTGACCCAGGCTCAACTGTTCTCGGCGTGTGGCTTCCAAGAGCACCCTGGGGCCATCTCCCTTCACCCAGCCTGGAGGGGAGTGAGCCTGGAGGGCCACGTCTGGGAGGGTTCCATGAGCCGAGACTGGGAGACACTCACCACTTCCACTCACATTCCTCGAGGGAGGCTGGGAATGAAGAGGGAACAAATGTGGCTGTCAGCTACGGTCCACTGTCTCAGTCTGCTCGGGGGTGCTCTTCTCGTGGCAGGACATGCCCCGCTTCCCAGGGAGACAGCCTGTATGTCAGTGGCTCAGTCCAGAAATGGACTGCTCACTCCTGCCACAGCATGACCACCAGGCAGTGGGGGTTACTCCTTACAGGTCACGCTGCTGTCTCACATCCATAGTCTCTGCAACAGATGCTATGGGAGGGGAGGAGAGGAGACCTCACAGGGCAAGCCACAATCTGTTACTTCTGCCTCAGTAGCTAGATCTCAAGTCACAGACTCACAGCCTAACTCCAAAGGAGGCTGGAAAATGGCCTCCTGGGTGCCCACGAAGAAGAAAGGTTTGGGGGCCCTGCCTTGTCTGTGCCCTGAGCGTCTCCTCCCCACTCTCCGCGTCGTGCCCAGACCTCAGTTCTCTGCAGGCCATGCTGTCCCCTCCCTCAATCCAATGTGGCTCCTCGGGGGCCGGCCCCCATGAACTAAAAGAAGTTGTCTGACCCCCCACCTTTATCACATCTCCCCAGTTCCCATTCACTGGTGAAGCAGGGACATCACAACCGCAATAAAAACTCCCACCTGGAAAAAGAAAGAATGAGACATGGAGAAGCCCCTGGGCTCTCACAGGGACGAGATACTGCTGGGTGGGCGTCATGAAGACCCCGTGCCCTGGGGTGGGGGTGATTCCCCTCTCTGGGAGGAACTCATCCATTGTTCCCCCATCCTGCCCTCTGGGTCGAATTCCCCCCTGGTCAGTCACAAGAGTGTGTTGGGGGCGCACCCTCCCTGGGAGCTGTGCGGCTTTCAAGTTCCCTTCCTGCCTGGTGCAGGCTGGGGGGCCCATCCAAGACTATTTTACAAGCCTGTGAGTCCTCTGCCCATGACTCCTCAAAAACTTAGCAGGCCACTAGCCTATCTGTGCCAGTAATCGTACCCAAAGTTCTTTTCCAGAACTTTACAGCCTGCTTTACCTCCTTGCTTCTCCGCCACGTGCCTGTCTCTTTCCCCCAACTGAGTGAGGGCTGCCGTAGTCTGATACTAGTCAATGCTGAGTCTCGCTGTTTAATGGGCTCAAAGTGATTTCCTACGCATCTTTTGCTGTGGGTGCACAGACCCGTTGCCCTTTCAACACAGAAAGCCTGGGATTCCTGACTCTTCCATTTTAGTTCTCAAACCAGCACATTTTTGCCTGAGCGTCTCTTCTTGTCATGCCTTGCTGTCAGCAGCAAAGAGCAACCCACACACACACTACCTTCTGTCTCTTTTCAACTCCTTCCCTATTCTAGCTACAGCTTCGGTGGCTCCACCCACAAATTATAAGTGACAATTTAACCAAGTGTAACCCCCAAACAAAGCCCTCCAACCTCACAGCCTGCCCTGGGGGTTTCCTTGCCACCTGACTGCTAAGCTGACACCATATAGTTTAGGTTTTCGTCACAGCCATTCTCCTTTCAAGGATTCTTTGTTTTATTTTTAAGTTGAACGTGGGCTCGTGTTTCCATAGGAAGTTCTGCTTCCTGTTTGGCTGTGCAAAAAAAACTGAGGACAAGGATGTCAAGTTTCTGGGGAGTGGAAAGAGCTAAAGCCAGTTGTTTAGTGAACTTAGGAAAAGAGGTTGTACAGAGAAAGAAAAATTGGAGGGAGAACCAGTTGGACAGTCTGCATTATAGAATTCT